CCCAGAAGTCCCTTTCCTTCAGGAGAGCCTGGCAGATGTAGCAGTCCATAGGCTGCAGTTCCTCAGGCAGGGATGCCTCAGCCCCTTCCCTGGAGGAGGTGAAGCCCTGCCTGCTGCACTGCCCTGTGTCCTGCCAGGGACCAGAGCAAGGCAAAGCCACCGTGGCCTGACACTGCTGAGAGCAGGCAGGAACCTGCCTCTGAAGTCACACAGCTGGGAAGTGAGGAGCTCTCACCAGGGAAGCACTGCCTGGGACTGCTCCTACCTGTCACACTGAAGAGGAAGGCCAGCCCTGAAATAGCACAGGAGTGCACAGCCTGAAGCAGGAACGTGCTCTCGGGGTTTATTTGCAGCTGCTTTCCTAGGGTGGTCCTCTCCCACAGGGCCAAGGCTTGGAGCTGATGCAGCTTAATAGGCTGGCAAAGGGACATGGTGGAAATGGCAGAGTGGGGCAGAGGCAGCAGAAAGCTGCTTTCTTAAGGAAGATGCTGATAGCATCATTGCAGAACATTTGCCTGAAACTGCAAGAGGTGTTTTTCAGGAGTCAGCTGCACACCCCTGCTGGGGTGTCTCTCATTTCACAGACCAAACTTGACTGGAAAGGTGTGCACAGGGAGCCTTTCTGTTATTGAAGCCTCTGGTGCACTCCAGATTGCTGCAGATTCAGACTTGTGCAAAACCAAGCTCAGAGATTCTTTTATCCTCCCCCATCAGCCAAGCCCTCGAGACAAAGGGAACCATTTACAGGTGTGGCTATTCCCAGTTCTGTCTTGATCCCTTTCTGGCAACTCCAAGCAGTTTACAGGTGTGTGCAAGCTGTCAGTGGCACCTCTGCAAAACCCCTCCTCGGGCCAGGATAAAAGACCACACATGATCTACACTGACTCTTAGCAGAGATCCAACAGCTCACCAGACACAGCTTTTCCAGCAGATATACCCTTCAGTTCTGCTCCAAAGGAAATCAGTATTCCTGAGGTTACTTCACATTCTTAGAACCTAAAGATTAGTGAGGACATTAGAGAACATATAGCTCTGGAACAAAGAGGAGAAATTCAGTACTCAAGCAGACCAGATCTTTTTATCCATTCTCCTGGTAAAAATGTCAGAGGAAAGAGAATTTCTTCTTCTTTTTTTCTTCTTTTCCAAAAGATTAACTGTGTCCTTAATCTGCATTATTGATCAGAAGGGCTATTTCACTGACACAGAAATGTACAGACAGAAAATACTGTGTCTTTGTGAAATCATAAACAGTCTCCACTTCCAAAAATTCCTTAAGAATCCCCTGGAACTGGGAAGAACTTAGGTTTCAAGGTTTATGGTTTTCATGCAGCCTTGGCACTGAAAACCAGCTCAGGTCCTTGGCATGGTTCTGGCTCAACACCACACGTGAAAGGTGTGGAAGAAAAAGCAGAGACTGAGTAACTGTGGTGCTGCTTCTGAGCTTTTCTGGTTCTTGGAGTCCTCAAGGATGGCACAAGGTCACTGCAAGTGCATTTCACTGGGAACCTGGGGATCCTTCATGGGGTGATACCAATCTACTGGAACACAGCAATGCAGAACTCATGGCAAACTGGAGTGTCATCCATCTACCCTCCATCCATCCATCCATCATCCATCCATCATCCATCCATCATCCATCCATCATCCATCCCTCATCCATCCGTCCATCATCCATCCATCCATCCATCCGTCCATCATCCATCCCTCATCCATCCGTCCATCATCCATCCATCCATCCATCCGTCCGTCCATCATCCATCCATCATCCGTCTGTCCGTCCATCCATCATCCATCCGTCCACCCATCATCCATGCATCCATCCGTCCGTCCGTCCATCCATCATCCATCCATCATCCGTCCGTCCATCCATCCGTCCATCCGTCCGTCCATCCGTCCATCCATCCATCCATCCATCATCCATCCATCCGTCCATCCATCATCCATCCACCCATCCATCCATCCATCATCCATCTGTCCATCCATCCATCATCGATCCATCCACCCATCATCCATCCATCCATCCATCCATCCATCCATCCGTCCATCCGTCTGTCCATCCGTCCATCCATCCATCCGTCCATCCATCATCCATCCATCCATCCATCATCCATCCATCCATCCATCCGTCCATCATCCATCCATCCGTCCATCCATCCATCCATCCATCCGTCCATCATCCATCCGTCCATCCATCCATCCATCCATCCATCCATCCATCCATCCATCCATCCATCCACCCACCCATCCCTAAGCCAAAGAAACTCTCCCCTGTGTCTGGGCACATGAGGCTCTGTTTTGCCTGAAGTGTTCTCCCCATCCCGGTGCTATGAGCCTCCTGGAGCACGTTTGATGCCCATTGAACACTGACCAGGGAGCAACAAGATCATCAATGATCTGGCTCAGAAACATTTGATCTAATTAACAGAAAAAATAAATTAGCTCTAGAGCAAACTCCATTATAATGCTGGACAATTTTTCCCTCTCAAAACTGGTATATTTGCCAAGTAAAAATTTTCAGCAAATGTTTTTTATGTGGTGGGTAGAATTTTAAAAATATTACAAAATGAAAATGCTTTTTCAGAGTTATGACAGCTGCATGTGAAGTAAGCTCTCAGTATTATAAAGTGATCACAAAATTTTCTGTTCTGGATATAAAAAACCACCTACCAATCTTTGCTACAACATGCAGATATTTTTACTCAAAGTTATTTTCCACAGAAAAACTGTTAAGTTGGCAGATTGACTGCTAAAGCAAATCATTTCCATTCCAATCAAGTTACACAGGACTTGAGAAAAGGACTTGTGTGAACTCAATATGAGCCATTTTATGCAACATCTTTGTTTGAACTGGGTCCCAAATAAGCAAGATAACCTTTACTTGCTTGTTACTAAGAGATAAAGGCATGTAAGTGTCTTTCAAGAAAATGAGAACAAAAACCTCAGATTCCCAAGAATTTCATAATATTGAAGAAGATGGAGTTTTCCTTTATTTATTTATAAGAGAATATATGGGAATATGGATATGCCAGTACTCCATCTTTACCTCTGACATCACTCCTATAAATTGTGAGCTGCAAATTTGGCATGTGACCTTTCACTAAACCCACAGGAGAATTCTCCATCCCTGAGAAGTTAAAAAAAAAACCAACCTGGAAGCTAAAAGCAGAAAAAAGTGAATTCTACAATAAATGCAGCAAGAAACTAAAACCATTATTGTCTGCAGACATAATTAACATGAGATACATTTCAACAGCAGCTGTCAAGCTCAAGTTGACAGCAGATTTAGTCAATCTGGTTACGTATGATTTCTTGATTGTGGCTGTAACTGAGGTTCCTGTGCACCTGTCAATAGTTACAAAGTTTTTAGGCCAGAACTTACAGCAAGTGGAGCTCTGACAACTTTGGGTACCCCTCTAATTTAGCATTCTGGTGTTAACCAGGTATTTGAGTTTCACTAAAGATGTTCCCCTGTTCTTGTACAGTCACAACTCTCACTTGCATGACAAACCTTTCTAGAAGTGAGTGGGTATATGTATAACATCTTGGGTGTGATATTCTGCAAAGTAAGAGATAAGTGATGCATTTTGACTTTTTACATAAACTATTAATAAATGCAAGGAGGAAAACACTTTACTGCATTATATATGTCCCCCAGGCTGCTGTAACTGGGCATTTCTAGAGTTTGATACCCTATAGCAAGCACTGTAACCACTGTTTTATTTGCTTATTGAAGGAAGGAGTCTTAAATCTGAAGCTTCTCTTAATAAAGCCTGATTTGGGAAAAGAGGCCTGAAACAGCCTGATAATAAACTTATTTAGTCTGACTTGAAGAATTCTATGGAAATCAACATCTGACCTCTACAGTTTCTAAAAATAGTAATCTTTTTTCAACTAAGGAAGCTTCCTCCATTTAAAATCTTGCTTACCTGATGGAAACCACTCTTTAATATTTCATATCTTTGCTGCACATAGCCAAGGAGTGGATAAAGAGTGGAAAGTCAATCCTGTGCTTTCAGCCTTGGAGAGCTGCAGCATTTTTTATTCATCAATTCAATTGCTTGACTTGATGTTCAAAGAACTTTTTCCCAGCTGCCACACTAAGTAGCCAGTGGGCAAACACTGAAAGGTCAACAGTTGCTTCTCTAATTCCATGCTATGAACACTTCCCAAGGGGAGTTGGGTGTGTTTGCAAAACTGACCTTCAGCCAGCATGGCTTCCAGAGGCGCAGGAGGAATGTGACCAAAGTGGGTGAGCTGTCATTTATTTTGTCTGTCTGTGGCACGACACATTTCAGTGGCTGCCTGCCCCTCTATCAGAGTGCTAAATTTTGTTTAGGGGAGACAAAATATCATTGAAATGAAAAAGTGCTATCATATATTTTTACTGAAGGCCAAAAAATATTGTGGATTTGATTTTTGGCAAGATCTCTAATTTGTTTTCAAAAGAAATTCTGATCATCATCCAAAACTAAGACAGATCCTAGCTATCAGTTTCCAAGATTTATTGCTTTCTTCATGTAATTGCTAGAAAATGATTAGCAAGATACACATGGCAATACAAACAACACAGTCTGTATTTGCTTCATTCTGATTGGCACCACAACCAGTATCAAACATCCAGGTCCTGCAAATACTGAATTTGAGAACTGAGCTGAGCTGCCTTTAGTGCAATAGTTCAGATTTGGCAAACATAAGATGTTTCTAGAATGCTGTAATTACACCTGTAGAGAAACACAAAAGCAGCAGCATGCTACTACTGAAAACCACTAAAATAAAAAAGGCAAATATTACTGAAGTGGAAAGGGCACAGCAGTAAAAAGTTAAATGCCTGATAATAATTTATAAAACTTGACAATAACAGTGCAGCTAAAAAAATTACGACCTTTGTTCTCCCACAACCCCTTTTTCCAAAGAGTCAAAATAAAAAATTGCTTTTGAAAAACTGAGAAACTGAAACCACGAGACTATTTATTATAACAAAGACACGATACTGCACTTACCCACTGGACTGGTACCAGCTCCATTTGGCACTGAGAGATCAGTTGTCCCCAGCATTCCACCTAATCAAAATAAGCCAGAGCATTAAACTGACTTGCCCCATGACAGTACTGTGGAATTCTGTACATCAAAACTTGAGCTGTGCAAAGGCACTGGCAGCACTGAGAGCCTGTTAGTCAGGAGGGCTCCTGTGGGCTCTGGCAGGGGATGGCCAGGTGTGGAAGGAGGGGCAGCAGCAGCAGCAGCAGCAGCAGCAGCCTCACCTGCGTTGCCGGCGCTGGGCGGTCTCTGCGGCGCCCCGGGGGACACGTTGCGGTGCAGGGTGCTCTGGGGTGGGGACAGCATGGTGGTGTCCGTCAGAGAGGAGCTGGCAGCCAGGGATGGGGACACCAGGGAGCTCCCGGGGTTGCTGTAGGTTAAAGTGTTGGGATTGGACACCGGAACCGTCACCGACATGGAGAAGTTCTGGGCGGGCAAGCCGGGCTGCGGGAGAGAAGACGAGGAACAAGGAGACAGCGCCGTTAGCATTAACTGTGTTTGCAGAAATAGCACATCAGAAAAATTCTGTCACGGCAGTTTGTTGGTTTTTATTAAAGTTAATTCTGTTAGTTTTTCAACTCTATTAAGCTTACAGTTTTAAAACATCCATTTGTTGTAAAGTATGGTGTTAAATTCTTACACATCACATAATTTACAGTGCCAAAGAATTACTCAAAACTTCTCAAATATGTAAAGTTCAAACAGAGAAAACTAAAAGTATTCACATGAATTCACAAGCTTATAAATACAATAAATCTAACAGTTAATTTGGATTATTACAAAGCAATGACAAGCTAAACATGTCTACAAATCAATGAACTCTTGAACCTTCAAAATTTAAGCATAAACATGCACATTACAAACAATTATCACACAAAAAAGAACAAGTTAGTAATAACATTTTCTAGTAATAACTTTGCCAATATATTACTGTTAATCTCTAACACTTTGTTTTTCAACAGTTTAAAAAAATAAACAGATCTTTAGAAAATCACAAAGTTCAATAATTTGAATTGAAACATTTCAGGCTCCCCAAACCCCTGCTTTAATAACCATTCCATCTTTTTTTGCAAATCTGATTTTTTTAATTCTAGGTTTTACAGGATTATTTAAAAGGCAACTGTTTTTCTGCAGTATATATGTTTGTTATTCAACAGCTATTGAATCAAAAGCTGAGCTGCCTGCCCATCTATGGTACTCATTTGGTCATGACTAACTTCTTTGGCCTTTGTCTCATTCCTATCCTTTGACAGTGATGGGTTTCTGAAACAAAAGGGACTATTTTTTTTCACAACTCTCATAATTACTGGAAACAAAACCATGACAGGTACAATTTAAGGACAAAAACCCAGTAGTATTTATTGACAGAATAGAGAGAGGTGATAGCTGTGATTGAGGGGTCAAAGGCAAATGACCAACACACATGACCTATCAAGAACACTTTAAAAAAATGCAAGTTCATCATGTGTAGCTTAAAAATCACTTAAAATGATACTTCTGCATGAAAAGTTAGATAATACAAGAAATATAACAACAACTATACTAATTCAGAGAGCAGAATATATTCTCTACAAGAAACAAAACCTCTTACTAGTGAGAGCCAACAACAATGTCCCTACTGAAGCATTCTAAGAATAATCATCAATTTTTGGCACAGATGGAAGGAAAAATTAATGAAGCAGAACAACACAAAGCTAGCAAATCATTCACAGTATCTAACCAATGACAAGCCCTGCTGGTGCTTGTTTTCAGGGGAAACTACTGGAAACTACTCAGTATCTACCAAACCCAGGGTGTTTTTACACAGCACACTGTCAAGCAGCTCAGACTAAACTGGAAATACCTGAAGTATGCTGAACACACTGCTAGGAGGGAACAGCTGGAACATTTTTTCTGTAGGTTTCTCAATACAGAACCAATAAGTGACAGCCTCCCCCCACACCTTACAATGAAGGCTGTCTGCCCATCTATGGTGTTCATTTGGTTACGACCGAATTCTTCACGCTTTGCCTCATTCCTATCCTTTGACAGCAATGAGTGCTCGAGAACAAGAGAAACTGTGTTCTTATACAGCCCCAGAAGTACTGGAAACAGAAACATAATTGGTCAAATTTGAGTTACAAACACAGAGCTGTAGAGCTAAAAAATAACGTTGCCCTTTTTATTTACACTAATGGCCACACAGACATTTGGGCTGTTCCCCAAAAACCCATTGAGCTGTAACATACTGAGAGATGGGGCCCGAAGATGTCTCAACACGGAAATGTTGGATATCAAAATCTTCAAAACAAAGAAAACCCAAAATATATTGGCTTTATTCAAGCATAAGAGAAGTGATGCTGGGTGTCATGACTGTCAGTTTGCTGTTCAGTCCCCAGAGATCTCCTAGGCTCTGAACGATGAAATGATTTCCAATATCAGCAGTCATTTGGAGACACTACTCAAGTGCCCCAGGGTCTGTGCAGATTAACCCACCCAGTTCATCTCCTTTAACTGCTACACGATTTGCATTCTTAAAATATTCAAAGGCTGTGCCAGAGCCCTGTATTATTTTTCTTAGAAAATACTTAGTAATACTCAACACTAACTGAGTTTTGTAGGTGGAAATTAAATGTCACCGTGAACACCTCCACAAAAAACATGCAACATTTCCACTCCTTTTATCCCCAAACTGAAGTTCTGGAGCCAAGTGACTTATGGCTGCACACTGGGTTGCCACTTGGGAGAAAATTTTTAAATATCCTTCAGTGTTCAAGGAAGTATCCGTTGGAATTTCAGAGGAGCAATCTTTTGAGGCTCTCATTCTGCAGCAGCCTTGGTTTTAAATATCTAAATAACTTTCTATGTCCAGACTTGAGCAAAATAAATTCTACTACTTAGATGACAAAATTCTATTTGCCTGCTTGTCACATACTGTAAAATCTTGATCACCAGACAGATGAAGACCTACAAGATGTAAATAAATGATCCTACACCCCACAACAAAAACCTATCTTGGTAAATATATTTTAGGTAGGATTAGGTAATGCAGTATGCTCGTGAAATTTTGAAATGTTGTCTTGTGTTCCAAAGGTATGAAAAACTGGGAGTGCAAAACCCAAGCTAGAGATGACTCTTCTTATTCTTTACAATAAAATGCATTTTAACAAGACCAGGTATCACAACCTCATTTTTCCTCAGAAGTCCTTTTCCCTTCTCAAGCCATTACATCCTCTTGTTTTTGAAGTTGTTTTCAGTGGTAAGCAAACACCATGAAAATTCTCATGCATGTAAGAGAAGCACAAACCATACTTTAGTACTCACTGCGATTTTATGATTCCGCATCATATTATCAAACTCTTCATTAATTTTTTTATATTTTTCTTCTGTATGTGGCGTGAGCACATATGAAGTGTCAGGGTCCGGGCTGTCGCACCCTCTGTGTTCCTTCTTGTTCAGAGCCTAAATAATGAAGTTAATAAAAAGGATCAACAAATAAAAAGTAGAGATAAAATAAAAGTACTTACAGGGCCTCGCTTGAAAATAAAATCACTATCTTCATTTAGTTTGCTGAATCTGTCCTCCGATAGTGGACTGTGCTCAAAGTAATCGTCAGCATCAGGGCTCTCACAACCATTAAGGCCTTTCTTTCTTAAGGTCTGAAATACAATTGGAAAATTCACATACAAATCATACTAACTTGCCAAGAAGTTTTGTACACTACTGAATCATTCAGAGCCCCTGAAACTACATTAAACTTTCCCAGACAAAACTCACTGTGCAACAGACAGAATCAGTCTTTCAAGGTAGTGGCAAAGTACACAAAGAGAAAAGGCTCACCCAGGTTCCATCTCACAGGTAACTTCCCCCTACAACCACTTCATCTCCCAGCACTGCATGCAAAATCATTTTTAGATACTGGCTGATGGAGAGAAGTTGCCTGACAAGGAACATTCAAGCTTGTGGCAAAGGAGTTAATGTATTCACTGGTAATTAAAAGCCAGTTTACTGGATCTTTAATGAATTGATTTTAGCTCCCAATTTTAATATTCATATTTTAAAGAGCATACAGTTATATTGTGAGACAAACACAGTGGCTAAAATTCTGATCCAGTTAACTAACTGCAGGACATTAATATCTGTAACATTCGATCTCGAAACTTGACAAAGACAGGATCTTCCTGTCATCCTGCACGATAACAAGAACCGCAAAAAAGAAATTACATAATGCCTCTCTAAAATGACTTAGTTTGCTAAATATAAGCTTTTTCAGAGTCCTTCAGACTAACTTTATGGAGCTACTTCCTGTTTTCTGATGGAGAACTCACATCAACATCCCCTGGAAAAAAAAAAAAAGGCAAGCTTGTCTACAGTCCAGCCATTAAAGAAAGGATGTGAAACTACAGGTCTCGTGACCAAATTACATGATATATTTGTATTTCTTGTTTTTCTTTTTTACCCTGTTACACAATCAGAAATTTTTCTCTGCAAGCTCTAATTTATAACAAAACAGTATTTAAAGCACTACCTGTAGAAAAAAAATCTTTTTTTTTTTTTTTAAAGTTTCAAAAGGAAAGCAATAAAAATTTTAAACAGATATATGTTATTCGTACATAAAGCAGCAGTGGGACCATACAGGGACGAGGGAGTTGCATACTTTCTTTCTGTCAGAAATTATCTATATTCCATGAATTTTACATTAAAACCCCTGAAGATCAGAAATCTGCAAGCTGCCGTTTCCAGTGCCATAAAACCCCCCGTGTTTTCCTATAGAAGCAATTTCCATTACGCACTGAAATTCTGATTTACAAAACATTTTAGCTCATAGTATTCACCAGCATTTTTTTACTGTCAACTGATTTTTAGTACAATAAAAAATACATACTACTTCCTCACTATTCATATATATGCAAAATCCTGCCTATTTCTACCGCAGTTTGAAAGCAGGAATTGAAAATCCAATTCGCTGCCTGAAATTCTTTAATATCACAGTTCACCATAAGCTGCCATTCCTTCTCAAGTTTCCTGGCTTGCTCCACGTATCCCACACAGTATCTGGAACTCCCACAAAAATGTAATCACTAAATCAGCATATGGGGAAAACAGGTGTAGGCTCCTCCAGCACCTGTCACAGCTCTGATGCCGCTCCTCCGACCAATAGCCGGACACGTAAATGGACTTGGCCATACAAGGGCCGGCTGCTCGGCCTCTCAAGGTCGGAGCCTGTTATCCCTCTCGCAGCCCTTCCTAACAAGTCAGCCTGCCAGTCTGCTACACTTTGATATCAGCAGGGAAAATGTTAACGCTGGGTAATCTGGATTACACTTAACCCCTGCAGCCCACGGCGCTCTGGAAATAGAAGCCAAATGTCTTTAGGCGCGTTGGGCGTCAGCGCGCGGTGCCCGGCACACGATGACAGAGCTGCACGGAGGCTCTGCAAAGAAAGGGCTGCAAGACATGCACAGAGTGCAGCTCCTGCGACAAACACGCTGAGGCAACTGAAGTCTTGCAGCAAGGAGCTTCAGCAGAGCTCCTTTCGATAGTCTAAAGCAATCCAGTGAAAGCTTTTAAATGTAATGCTGCCAACTCATCCCCCCACAACGGTAAATTATCCTCCTGCGATTTAAACAAAAAGGAAGAGATTTAAATGTAAAAATGCCTCCTTCCTCTCGGTGACTGTGTGTCATTTTTGCTAACAATGGGGTTAACTCTGCTTTGACTCCTGAGGAAGGAAAATGCCTCAGTATCTCCTGTTTCAGGCTCTGGAAACCGTCACTCCAGATGGGGTTCCTGTCATTGTGGAGGGATTTAAGCCACAGTTCCCTGTCACAGATAATAAGGCTGGGTCCAACAGCCAGAGCTCTGCCTCCTTATCACCAAAACACCAAGTGCCACTTTGAGGACCTGACCATAAAAAGCCTGCGAACTTTTATCAGTGCCCAGTAACACAATAGTAAAACATTCCTGCTCGGTGGCCAGGGCTGCGCACGGAATGCCGCGAGCTGTTGGCACGGGCAGGCGCGGCCGAGGGGAGCCAGCTCCGCCACAGAGCCCGGCACGGGCCCCGCCACAGAGTCCGGCACGGCCCCGGCACAGAGCCCGGCACGGGCTCCGCCACAGAGCCCGGCACGGCCCCGCCACGGCCCCGCCACAGAGCCCGGCACGGCCCCGCCACTGAGCCCCCGCCACAGAGCCCGGCAGGGCCCCGCCACAGAGCCCGGCACGGCCCCGCCACAGAGCCCGGCACAGAGCCCGGCACGGGCCCCGCCACAGAGCCCGGCACAGAGCCCGGCACGGGCCCCGCCACAGAGCCCGGCACGGGCCCCGCCACAGAGCCCGGCACGGGCCCCGCCACAGAGCCCGGCACGGGCCCCGCCACAGAGCCCGGCACGGGCCCCGCCACAGAGCCCGGCACGGCCCCGGCACGGTCCCACAGAGCCCGGCACGGCCCCGGCACGGTCCCACAGAGCCCGGCAGGGCCCCGCCACAGAGCCCGGCACAGAGCCCGGCACAGAGCCCGGCACGGGCCCCGCCACAGAGCCCGGCAGGGCCCCGCCACAGAGCCCGGCAGGGCCCCGCCACAGAGCCCGGCACGGCCCCGCTGCGGGGAACGGCGGGGACCGGCCCCGGCCTCTGGGAACCGCTCCGCGGGGACCCGGCAAAGCCAAATCCACAAACAAGGGCTGACTCCGCCCTCGAGATTCTCCAGGGCTAAAATTTGTTGTTTCTCCAAATAATGTAAATAACTCGGCTCTCTGAGCAATTTCCAAGATGTTAACACAGAGATCAAAATGTTATTAACTTTGAGGCTGTTCAGAGGAAAAATTTGGTGAGACCAAATAATTTGTGTAACATGAAGAGAGTTTTATTTCTCTGCTCTGATACACAAGCTTGTTTAGAACAAAATCATAGTATTTGCAGTAGAGACTAATAGATATAAGGCATAATTTTTTATTACCACAGGAAGAGGGGAAAAGAACATTAAATTTCAGGTTTTGTTATTGGATGCTCACTGCAATTACCTTCTGGTGTGAAGTCTTGTTTTCCAGATCATGTAAGGGAATGTGTAGCCCTTTCAGTAAATCTGTGTTACTTTCCACTTCCTCTAAGACTTAGCCAAAATTACTGGAAATTGTTCCAACATGTTTGCCAACACACTGTATTGTGCCCCAGTAACTAAGATTGTGCAGCTTTGATGTCAGGCTGCACTAACTGATGAGAGAAAAATACTGGTTTCACTCAGAAAATAATGCTAAGTATTTACAATGATCCAATGCAGGTGTGAAAGCTCTTTTTTAAAAGAATGAAGGAAACACAAAAATACATTTTTATGACACACAAAGTCACTACACAAGTGTTCCAGACAGCTTTGGTCATCTTGATATTGCAGAATGACCAGGAGCTGTAAACTGCTTCTATTCCACTCTTAGTCTAGTATTGATTTATTTTGATTCGAATGGCAGAGCTTAGAAAACATTGTATGAGAATGGCTGGACCAGCTATGACGGGTTTAAATATTGCAGTCAAGCACATGGTACATGAGCCCCAATATTTTCCTGAACTTCCCCACACATATGCAAAGTAGTTTTTAATTGCACTTTGCAATTAAAATTAGCATTTTGCTAATTTAAGAAAAGAACCATGCCTTGGCAAGAAGCATCTAAGGAACAGAAGAAGGGCTTCTTGCAAAACAACAACAGAAAGGAATAACTGGCTTCTCTCTACGATTCAATATAATTTTTACTGAAACTGATAATACAAATAGCAAAGAGTATAAAAGCAAAATAAAGTCATTTATTATTCGATCCTTGAGGAAGCAGAGCTGATATTCAACCATATCATCTTCCAAAAAATCCAGCAGAGACACATGGAAGGCAGGAGCCTGAAGGTGTCCGAGCCCCCAGAGCAGGAGATAAAGGCAGCACCTTCTCCAGGCTTGTTCCAGCCCGGCTCCCAGGGGCTCCAGACACTGCTCAGGGGCAGCTCTGGGGGCCAGGAACTCTGAACCCATAAGCATGGATGGGTCCTTGCTTCCAGAGAGCCCCCAGCTGGCCCCTCCCATCCAGACCCAGGCTTTCCATCCCACTCCAAAAGGAAACGTTGCTGATGATTAAAGAGCACAATCAGTGGGTCTTGTGCTCCCATCAGTGAGTTTGGTTAAAAAGCCAAGACTTCTGATATTGTGATCTGGGCTCCTTACCAGCCCTGGCAGAACTGTAAAGAACTTGATTATGTTCATTGTCACGTCAGGAAATGATATTTTTCTGCCTTAAAGCAAGAATTTAGGATGACCTCATGTGTAAAAAGTGTTATGAAGTGTAAAAAAGTGTCAGGTCATTCAAAACACTCAGTGTTTGGTTTCTTGTAATATTACACAAAAAGGAAATGGTGCTGCTGTCAAAGCTACCATGTATCATGTTAACAGCTCTATTTTTGCACTTACTATTGGAGCTGGCCAGAGAGGATTTTTGTTGGTATTTCATCCCAAATCACTGGGAAAACCATGTCCAAAATTTGACTAAGACTGAAATGAAAAGTGATTTCCCCTGGAAAAGGCAAACCCTTTCACTTAAATCCTATGGCTAGTTCTCCTTCTGCTCTTGCAATCAGAGCATGGAAAAGCTGCAAAGCAGCACAAATTTGGAGTAAATATGTTTTA